ATCTGGAAAATGGTTGGCATGTGACAATATGCATTGAGTAGGCCAGGCCTTAACAATGTCTCAGATGTTGCTGTCATTGTCCTCCTGCTTAGAGCTCTTTGATGCTTTTCATGTCCCAAGCTTGGTCCTTGGAACAAGAACAACTTATTTTTTATTTGCTTAACTCTAGATATTGAACTTCTGTGTGGGATCTCAGTAAATGAACCAAGAATATGCTTATAAGGCATGCAGACACATCCTCAGTGGCTGTCAGTTCAGCAGAACAAATTAATTAGCTGAAATTATCCTTAGTATGGAAGAAAAACCAGCCTCTCCTTAGTAAATATGCTTTGCTAGTTATAGGATAATAATCCTGAGTGCAGCGATGCCAACACCTTCCCTTCGGCCATCTGGAGCAATGTTCTTGCGTGGTGATGCCTCATCAGCTCCCGTCCTCATTTCTCTCCTGGTCTTTATCTCTTAACCCCTTTCCTTGCCTCCATAATAGGATGATGTATGTTGGTCTCTTCCCATCTTCTTTTCTTCCTCCCTAACAGTTCTTAGCTTCATATGTAGTTTTTTGCTCTTTTATATCTCTCTGTGTTAAAATTTACATAATTATCGGGATTTTTAAATAAAGGAAAGTATAAGGAAACAGAAATGGCCTCTCACACTGATAATAAATTCCTACTGATGGTATGAGGAAATCATATATACACATGGTTCAAAAGTTAATAAACAAAACCTATGTAAGATAGTAAAGCATCCTTTTCTTGCCCATTCACACTTCAAGCACCGCTACCCAGTGTTAATTACAGTTAACATTTTCTTGTGTAGTTTTTCATGAAATGTTTTGGATACACACCAGCATATAAAAGTCGAAATGAATGAATGTATGTGTTTTCTATTTATGTAGAAGCATCCCAAGAAAACGGCTCTGAACCTATCTTCTCTCACTTAATGTATCTTAGAGATCTCTCCATAGGCCCCCGCTCTGCCTTACAAAACATCCATCTTATTCTTTGTAACTGTTTCATTGTCTTCCATTGTGCTGATGGTCTCACTTATCATGCGAGTTTTTTGTTGGTGGGCATTAACATTTTTCCCTGAACTTTTACAGTTTCAATAATATAACTGTGAATATTCATATACATACATCTTTGAACACTTCTGCAAGGGACGTATACATCTTACATTTTGATGCTTATTGCTAAATTGACCTCCAAAAACCAAATTCGGTTTCACTAATTTAGATGCTATACCAGAGTGTTTTCTGTCAAACTTTTCTGATTTTCGTCAATGCAATAGAAACATTTTATCTCAGTTTTAATTTTTCTTTGATTTTGAGTGAAGATAATGACCATTTTGAACGGACAGGCAATCTGTAGTTTATCTGTGAACTGCCTGTTCCTATCCCTTGGCCCTTCTTCTGTTTGGTGGTTTTTTCCTCATTGGTTTATGTAAAGTCCTTACCCACTTTCTGGGACATTTCCTGAGTCTCAACCTAAAATAGTCACTGAGCCAATAAATCTCACATCAGTGTGTTTTAATCCTCTGCCTGGGATTATAGTTGGATATTTTTCTCACTTGTTTATGGGTTGCCTTTCTCTAGAACATAAACTCTAAAGGAGCAAGGATCTCATCTATCTTGTTCACTACTATAGCCTATCATGTAGATGCAAGCCTGGCTCATAATAGACACTCAGATATTTAATGAATAAATAAATGAAAATTGAATTAGCCTTTGTGTATCCTAAACATTCATTAACAGTTCATTTTTAAATTTTATGGTATTTTTTCCAAATGAAAGGTTTGACTTTTCATGCAGCCAAATTTATCAGTCTTTTTCTTTTTATAACTTCTGGAACTTCCTCACTCCAAGTTTATAAATAAATTCACCTGTGCCGCCTTTGAAAACTTCTATTCCCATCGTCTAGGCTCAAATCTTAGACTTCTATAAAATTTATTTAATCAAAGTTAAGGATCCAGTTTTGATCTTTCTTACAGTAGTTGGCTAGTCCATCATCATTCATGAAACTCTGTCTCCTGCACTGGTTTAGCACAACAACTCTATGATAAACTACATTTCCATATGTATCACGTCTCTTCTTAGACTCGAATTGTTTTAATTACTATAGTTTTATGATATGTTTTTTCTTCAACTTTTAAATTCAGGGGTTCATGTGCAGGATGTGCAGGTTTGTTACATAGGTAAACATGTGCCATGGTGGTTTGCTGCACAGATCAACCCAATACCTAGGTTTTAAGCCCAGCATCCATTAGCTCTCCCTCCCCCTACATCCTCCACTCCAACAGACCCCAGTGTGTGTTGTCCCCATCCACGTGTTCTCATATGATGTCTTTCAATATTTGATGAAGCTGGTTCTTTCTCATTTTTTTGTTTTCTTTTTCAGGATTTTTTTATGGCTACGATTGCATTTTTTTTTCTCAGACAAGTTTCATGATCATTTTGCCAAGTCTGAAAAAATTATCTTAAAAATTATTTTAAAGTGACATGTCATAATATGCATATATATGTGTGTGTGTGTGTGTATATATATATATATAAAAAAAATACTTTTTTTGTCTTTGTGTCATACTCCAGAACTAAGGAGAGTTTAGTTTGTTCAGAGTTCATTGTATTAAACTCACAATGGGACAGATACCAGAAGTTGGTCCTTGGAGAAATAGGGTTAATGAATGTGAGAATAATCAGCCTCCTTTGGCAAGAAGGGTTTAGATTTGTGCTTGGGTTACCGCATATTCTGCTAAAGCTTTTGAATGTGAATGGGTCTTATAGTTCTGGACGTGACTGTTTATACTTGAGTATGATGAACCACCATGAAGACATCCTCAATTCCAACCATTTATTTTGAATGCATCCTGCAGAAGATTATTAGACACAAGAAAATGTAAGCCCCAGTCCTTATTTTGCTACTAATAAGCTATTTAGCTCTTGACAAGTTTCTAAAACTTGTCTCTGATCCCGTTTCCTCATCTGTAAGGTGAGGATGATATTGCTCATTCATTTACCACATAATACCTTATTTGCCTGCCTACCTTTGCAATTGTTGTTAGGATCAAATAATACAATTCTGGTAAAACTTATATTAGAAAATATTAAGGTTTTCTGGTTAAACATTGCACATCAAAGGCATTTCATTTGCTTATGTTTTATCACTCTTTCCCCATATACCACTAAAAATACAGGAATTTTTTTAAAAAGCCATAAGCCAACAAGAGTAGAAGAACAGACTAGTAGACTGCAGCAAAGATACAAGCCAAAAATTTAAATCTGGAACTAGGTGGTCAGTGGTAACTGATTTAGTGGAGCAGGATAAGCCAGAACTCATTTGCAAGAAGCAGTAAGACAGAAGTTGGTTAAGTTCAGGAATCAGAGGCACCTGGTACCTTTGAAGCCTAGACTTGAAAACAGGAGGATGAATTAGAAACTTGAATGAGGAGCTATAGGATTTCTAGATCCCTCTCCCACCACACTGAATGTTAAAAAAAGAAATGTTGTAAGAGAATGAGGCTGGGGGTGTACTATGAGAGGAAGTTGGGATGGGGTGGAGGTAGTAATAGAGACATCAATCTTTTTCCATTGTAGGTAGTCAAAAGACGATACAGGTTTTTAAACATTAAGAAATGAATAAACATGCATACTATTAAGAAGAAGATAATTACTGACAAAACCACATGCAGGAATTGAAAATGACTGTGGAGACGAGGGAGAGGACAGGAGCTTCTTTCACATCGGTATACTTGGTAGTACTGATAAGGAGTACTAATACTTGGTAGACTAAAAAAACGATCCTGTTGTACAAGAGTGAGACTTGAGCATAAAACTTGGCAGCTAGGTGCATAATAAATGCTTATCGAGTGGGCAAATATTATTCACTGATTCAAAAACTCAAATATTATTCAATGATTTCCCCTTGGTGTTATGTAGGAATTAGAGTTAAGTAATGTGCTTTAGGGATTGATGAGCAATTTATTTGGAATATCACAGTATAAGAAACAAGTCTTTTTATTTTGGGGGACTGTGGAATATTAGAGGATCTTTGAACAAAGTTAATAAAATGTCAACCTGAACGCTGAGTTTTTTGTATACTTTTCATCAAGGAAGTTTGGGAGTTAAAACAACAATAGCAACCTTTTATTGGTATGTGTTGATTAAGACACAGTATTTTCTCTACCAGAAAGTCTCTCTGACTCAGGCACTGGTATATGACTTGGGCCTAATAATTTTCTTCTCTTTGCATTTTTTTGTCTTTGAAATGGGATTAAAATTTATTCTGCCTTAGGGTAGACAGTTGGGTATTAGAGAAATCCTGGGATTGGTTCTTTGGTATAATACTGTAAACATAGTAACTGGGTCTGGAAGTTAAGTTGCATCTTCCCAGAAGATAAGCAGACTGTTGGAAGCTAAAGATTTAGTTATAATAATGTGATTTATATGAAGCAAACTATCTCCTCCAGAGATCTCAAAGTTCTGCTGGTATTAAGAAGTAACTAACCAATAATAGGTGATTGCTTATTCTCCAGGATAGAGAATGTTTTATTAAGAGAATTGTACTACAAGATTGAGTCCAATATTTATTTGTAAGTTGCTATGAATTTATTAGGAAAGAAATGCTAGAGAAATACCAAGAAATAGTATTGTGTGATATTCCTGAAGGAACTAATTTGATTTGTTTTTCTCTGTAAGACATAGATGAATTAGACTTACATTGTATTTCTCTCTGTTTGTGTTGTACCTATTGGTCTAGTATCTTGACCATGCACATTGGCTTTTAATCTAGCAATTTTACACTCACAGAGCAATTCTCTTTGACTAAGCCACAGTTATTTGCTACCTACGTATATAAGAAAATAATTTCACATCCAAATAGTACTTAAGTAAAAGTTTCAAAAATGAAATATTGTACCAGTTGAGGTTAAATATGTAATTGATTTGGGTGTCTTCTGTACAACCGTGTTAATTGAAAACCATATTTTAAAACTTTTATTGTTCCTAGAGTGAATTACTGGAACTTAAGCGGCAGCAGCAAGAGGAAAAAAGAGCCAAAGTCCAGCAGACTGAACACAGGAGGTATAACTGGCTAATAAAATAAGCATCCTTGGTTAAATCAATTACCTACAAAGTTTGTACAGTGTTTTAGGAAAACATTACAGTAACATTTTTATTATGGTTTTGGAATGTGTATTACATTTAAATCTGTTGTTGAGATGTGATGTATGTATGAGGTATGCCAACTGCTACATATATGAGCACACACACGTGTACATATGTGCATGCACACAAATATCCAATTTTCTTGGATAGGTGGCATAAACTCACATTAGGAAACTGAATCATGTTCTTAAGCTGTGTGTTCAATTAAGGTAGGTTTAATTTTCCTTCCATGGGACAGAGCATCCTAATTTGAGATGATGCTGTACCATTTATAGACTTAATTAGAATAATTACGTTAATATAGATGGTCAGATACCCATACTTGAGTACAAAAGCTCAGACAAAAACTCATTAAAGTTATTTAATATTGACAAATACATTAGAGAAAAAAATCTTAGAACCATTAAGTAATTTTCAAATAGTCTGAGCACTCTCCACCTTAATCCTAATGTCAGACTTAAGAATACCTAGTAAAATATCATGTTACTGTTGGGACAGTGCTAATAAGCACCATATTGTCTGCCATTATTATGCTAAGATTTCTAGGGGAGACACGGGTTGTTGGAGTTCATTAGGGGTGTACTTGAGTATCTTGGAGAAGAATGTAAGGGTTTTCACAATGTAAAGGAACAAATTCTTTTGATAGTGAATGGCTTCTTTTATGTATTTAACCTTCTCACTGTCACTAATGCGTGTTTTTAAGTTATGGTGGTTTCATTTTCTAAATGAGAGACTTTAAAAAGCGTTCAGTGGAAGTGCCCTATTCTGATGGTGCCTCTAACTGTGGGTGGTGGCCTCACATTTATTTGACTGGACTATGTTGTTCCCATAGTCCAGTCAAAATAGTTTTAAAACTACAAATGTGAGTTATATATTTTTTCTCTTATTTAAGGAAATATCAAAACTCTGATATGTTGGTTAGGCTACATTGTTGGATAAGATGGTGGTGGGGAAGGATGCTAACTATTTATTATAAAGTAGGCCATAATTTTGTCATTTTATTACTGTTTTCTTTCCTTCCTTCCCTCCTTCTCTCTCTTTCTCTCTCTCTCTCTCTCATTTGAGACAAAGTCTTACTCTGTTGCCTAGGCGGGAGTGTAGTGGTGGGATCTTGGCTCACTGCAACCTCTGCCTCCCAGGTTCAGGTGATTCTTCTGCCTCAGCCTCCTGAGTAGCTGGGATTACAGGCACATGCCACCATGCCC